CCCTAGGTGAGAAATGGGCTGCATCTCAGTGTGTAAATCTGGGGCCAAGCTGGGCTTGACTGGCCTGAGGGATATTAGTAAGAGTCCAGCTTTGTGCTGGGGATCAGAGGAGAAACATCTAGGGGGACCCAGATCCTGGGGTAGAATAAGGAGTAACAGTGTTTTGTGTTTCCACCCCTATTATCAAATAGACAAATGGACCCCATACTACCTATGTGGTGACTGGTATAACACATGGAGGATGGGACCTTACAACTGCACCGGCTGGAACAAATATACCACGTGCCTTCCCCAGCTAACTAAGGTATCTACTGTGACCAGACGCCTGGGGTCTGGGACATACATCTCCCTCCACTGCTAAACCAGTGAGTGGGGTCACAGTGAGTGTGCACTCCCTGACTTGCTACCTTCCTGAAGCTTGCCACCTGGCCCCTTCCCACATGGTCTGGCTAATGATAGGCTGAGCCTACCTGCTCCACTCTCCTTCCTTTGTGATGTGAGCAAGGACAAGAGAAGGGAAAGCAAGGCCACCCCGTTGCAGCGCAGATAGATAATAGGAGAGTCTTCCAAGGAGATAGGAAGGAGCCCAGCTGCAGGCCCAGGCCAGAGGAAAGAGGAAATTTGAGAGGATGGGAGGCCAGAGCAGAGGTTCTTAACTATAGCTGATGGCTGACCTTGGGTTGACTGAACCCTTTTGAATCAGAACTTCAAGAGTCAGGATTTTTCACAAGTCCTCCAGGTGATTCTGATGGGCAGGCAATATTATAATATTGACACTACGTCTCCCCAATTAGAGACACTCCAAGACATAACTACACAGAGTCAGCTAGACAAAGAGAGGTAAAAGCAAAGGCAAACGCTGAGGCAGGGGTGCCTGAGGCCTAGGTCCAGACCCCATCCACCTATAGCTTCATTTCCTTTCCTTCCTATCCCCTTTCCCCGAGCCTGGAGGCGGAGTAACCGCGTTGTATTTCCCAGTGACAACCCTAAACACTCCGAGCCTGGGAGAGTAGGGGAGCATCTGGAGGGCGGGAGAAGACACAGCCTGGGACTGGTCTGGGTGTTCAGGGAGGACCCCCAAAAGGAGAAACTCTTCCAGGTCAGAGTTTGAGGTAGCATGTGTGCCACTTTCAGGAGGCAGGAATGGAGACAACTGTTCGAGGAATGCCTTTGCAGTGCCCTCCTAAGCCGGAACGACTCAACGCCTATGGTAACAGTTGGTGGGGCAGTAGTGGGGTAGACCAGAAGGATGATGGGATGGGACCTGGGGGATGTGGCAGAAGCCAAAGATAGGGGGTGTAACCCTGTCTCCTCTATCTGTCCCTGTTTTTGTTTCCATCTCTTCCTATCTCTGACCCTGTCCCTTCCCTTTCCTGTAACTGTAACCGGGTCTCCCCGGCTTGGGTCCGCGGGTGCAGAGCGCGAGGTGGTGGTGAACATGTTGAACTCGCTGTCACGGAACCAGCCGCTGCCGCAGATCATGCCCCGATGCGGGTGCGTGGATCCTCTGCCCCGCCGCCTGCCCTTCCAGGGTTATGAAAGCCCTTGCTCGGGCCGCCACTACTGTCTACGTGGGATGGACTACTACGTCACCGGAGCACCCTGCACGGAACGCCGCTTCCGGCCTTTGTGTACAGAGCAGCCGACTGTAAGGTTCGCAGGGACGCTCCCTCCTTAGGCAGGCCCCGCCCCCAACAAGCCCCCCATCCCACCCCACCCTACCCCCGCGAGTCCAGCCTCACCCCAGCTGTGCGCGCCCCATCCCTCAACAGTTCCAGCTCTGCTCTGCCTCTATGCCAGACCCTACCCCAACTCCCGCCGCCTCTATCCCCTTACTGGGCCCTGTCCTGTCCCGCCCTCCGGGCCCAGGGCCTGAGCTGACTGCTGAGACCGGAGAACCTGCATTAAGATTCCCCCAGGTTCCCGGCCCTGTCCGTCCGGAATTGGGCTCAAGGTCAACCTAGCTCTGGAGGCCCCGCCAGAAGGTGGGGTTTTTTTGTTTTTTGTTTGTTTGTTTTGAGGAAGAAACCCCACACACCAGTCACATCCCTTTCACACACCTGGTTCCCTACCTGGATACCCGGCCCTAGAGACGCAGGTTCTAGCCTCTGGAGTGCCAGGTGTCCTCAAAAAAGCGCCTTCTATTCCTGGGTCTCAGGTCACCGTCTATAATGGGCAGGGTCATTGCCGGGTGTTATGTGAGCAAGGAAATGGTAACCGTATTACCAGAGGGGTCCTGGCTTTAGAGCCCCACACCACCTCTGAAGGTAGACAGCCTAGCGTGTTACTGCTGAGGAAACTGAGGCCCAAGCCCTCAGCTACAACCCAGACTGCGGCGCAACCTTCCCCCTGCACCAGGTGGCAGTCAAGGCGGGCCGAGCCTGGGAGAACTCCAAAGTCCGCGTCGGTCTTAGAGAGCTTGTGGAGGAAGGTGGCGGGGCGGGGGGAAGTGGGGGTGGGTGGGTGGTGGAGTGTTCCTAGATCCTGCCCCTACCCCACGGTGATTCCCCCCGCCCTTCCCCGGGTAGAAAGTCTGATTAATTGTGCGAGACAGAGCCTCATCCGTCACAAGGGCAGGGCGGAGCGAGAAAGTGCCTGAGCCTTAGAAATGTCGTTAGTGCTGGAATAATTGACCTCCAATGGAGAGGACCCGGGAGCTCCCAGCTCTTCAACGACTGGAGCCCGACCCCCCCCCACCCCCCAGTCCAGCGTACTCCCACAGCCCAGCCTGGGCGGCGGAAACCAGGCCTAACGAGGATAGGGACTTTCAGGTGTCTTCCCACAGGGGAAGCTTCGATGGGGTGTTGAAGGGCCAAGAGGCCCGAGGGGAAGAGCGCCGCTCAGAGCCCTAGTCTGGGTTTTGAGGCCCGACCTCTCCCTGACCACCACTTCCTCCTCCAGGAGTGTACTGACCTACGAGCACCGGCCCGGAATGCAATGTGCTGTTATAACTCCCCCGCCGTCATACTACCCTTGTCCGAACCTTAGGTAAGTCTGGCGCAAATGGCGTTTGGCGCCGCGGGGAAGGCGGGGACGAGTTGGGGCGGGAACTGTCCACTGCGATGCACTGACTAGAAAATGCCACCAGGGGGCGGTAGTGTCATGGGGGTCGTCAAAGCTGGCAAAGGAATGGAGCACCCTCCATGAGAGGGCGTTGAGGCTGACCTCCAATGGTTACAGGTTGGCAGTGGGGCTCAGAGTCAGGAGATCATGGCATTAGGTTCAGGGCTTGAAGTAAAGGATGAGAAATTAATGTTATGGAGCCAGTATTGGGAATCAGAAATTTAACAGTAGAACCTGAGGTCTCAGGAGGTCAGTTTGGAGCATGGGGTCAATACTAGGGGCAAAATGTTGGGATACCGTTAGCATTGAGAATTGGAATCAGATGTATGAAGGTCCAAAAGGGCTGACCCATTTCTCCCCACAGATGGGACACAAGCCACTTCAAGAAGACCGGTGGCCCCCAGAGAAACAACTATGTCGTCCACCCTGAGTTTGTGTCTGAAACCTATCCTGACTGCTACTGCTGGTAGACCCCAGGCTGGCGGGCCCAAGAGGGCTGAGCAGTAAATAAACTCTTCACCCCAAAGGCTGCCTCCTGTGTCCTTACCCCCACAAGATCTGGCAGTGAGGAGCCAGTCACTCAGGCCCCTGCCAAGCCCCTTCAACTGAGGTACATTTTCTTAGTCATCCTGCCCTGAGCCCTTCTTGCCCTCATCATCTCAGTACTTCCCTTGGGTGGTCCTGAGTGCCCTCCTGACACATAACAATGGTTGGTGTTGGTGTCCTCCCTCCACCCAAATTAATGGGTCTACCTAGCCATGCAGGGCCACCCCAAGAGGACCCTCCAGCTGACATTTGTTCAGTATCCCCCAGACCTAGATGTTCCCTCACCCCCCATCTCAGTAGATGCAGTCTTCCATTCTGCAGTCAGAGACCTGTCCCTGTACCCAAAGTTCTTGATCTCTGCTCCCAGAGTCTCCATCACAGCCCTGAAAAAGTCTACGTTCAGACATCCTTGCTGCCCTCCCTTACCCAAGTTCAAGAGTCTAAAACATAATTTTGGAGGGTCTCATGACTAAGAAATTTCAAATTACAAAGCAAAGCCCTCTTTCTCTGTCCCTCCAGAAATAAGAGGTGAGGTGTTCTGGAATCTCTGGGATCTTTAGTATTTTTGCACCCAACTCCTCCTCGGACGGAGCAGGGGTATGGCGGGGCACATTTGCCACCTCTAACGGTATCACCACAGGGTGTGTGTTGCGGGGGGAGATCAGAGGGGGCATTGCAAAATACTGAGGTCCCCAACCTCAAATACTACTGGTCTGGTCCGTTGTGAACTGACAACTCGGGCTTCCTGGCTGGTGGAACTAGGCTCCTTCCGTAGGTTCCTTGATTGGATCCACCCTGCACTGAGCCTCTTCTGTGATCCCCCAGAACCCCGCTACCCTTTTTCTATATGAGAGAACTTTTTCCATATGGGAAACTTTCCACATGAAGAGCTAATGAGAGCATTATACCAAGATGGCCTCCACCTGCCCAAATCTGGAGGGAAAGGAATCCCAGTAGCCAACCCTACCCCCTTTACCCTGCCGCTCTCTCCTCCTCATACACATCCCAGATTTAGCCTAGAGGTGCGAGAACCCCTACACTCTACAAGTGCTCCTTTCTCCAGAACTACATGTCCCAGAAGGCCTAGGGAAGAGCCCCGCTAGCATCCAGTAAGCAACGGCCCAGCGGGGGTGGGCCTGCAGGCAGGGGGCGGAGCCAGGAGACACTGCTGGTGGCCTTCCAGAGTTGCCGGGAGGTGGCCACAGAGCAGTGGGAGAAAGGTGGGAGCTAAGGGGTGGGACCTCAAGTCCGCGTGACAATGTGGGAGGAGGGATCGAGCGCCAGGGGCGGGGCTGGACTACGAGGCCCGAAGGGAGACCGAACGACCGGGGCGTGGCCGAGCAGCAAGGGGGCGGGTCCCGAGGAGGGCTTCAGCTGTTCCCAGCTAGGCAGCGCCCCGCGCCGCGCCGTGGCAGCCCAACTCCGGCTAGCTTGGAGGGAATCTTCGGGAGCCTCCCTTCACCCCCACTTCTGGGGTCACTGCCGTGAGTGAGCCCAGGGGGAGGACCTTGGGGGGTTGCTGAGGAAACACATTTCCTGAACTTTCGCTCCTACTGATGAGTAGGGGGTACGAGCCTGGACACCTGGGCCCCTCCTCAAGCCGCGGTTCCCAGCGGGCGGCCGGCCCTTTGACCTCAGTCTGTCCCTTCGGACATTGTAGCTGTAGCGCTGGGGTGGAGGGGGAGTATTCCAAGCTGTAGGCGCAGTCACTCGATCCCCTCTGATCTCGTCCTTGGGGAGGGCAGGGAGATGGGCTGGATCGAGTTGCCTTTGACATTCCCTCCCTCCTTGGAATTATGTTCGACAAACGACTCAGCTTGGCATGGCCTCCCCGCTTTGGGGCCGGGCTGGGCCCTCCCCCTCAGATCCGGCTAGGGGCTGGCAGCCAAGACCGAGGTTGAGTGTCAAGTGGGGAAAGGTTTGGCTAGGGCAGACCCCACCTGCCGGCATTAGCCTGTGGTTAGCCAGACGACGGAGGCGGCAGATTACAGGGGTCTCTAGCGCTGTTAACACAGGAACCACAGTTCCTCCTCCACAGCCCCGTACCAGATGCCATGAAAATTGCCCTTTTCCCACCCCAAGGAGCCTTTCTGGAGCAAGCAGCAGCACCAACCCTTGAGAAGATAGGCTTCACCATGCACACAGCCACCTGATGGGGAGCCTGTCCCACCCTCTGACTCACAAAGCTCCTTTCCTCTGCTGCATTCAGACTGCCAGTCAGACCATTATCTCCCATCTCCTAAAAATTATGCTGTGGAGGGTTAAGCTGGGATTTCGGATTTAGGCAACCTTGCCACCTGGTAACTTCAAACAAGTTCCTTTTTCTGTTTGGGCAAGTTTCTTCGACCGTAGACTAGGCACTATAGCTATGCCTCTTGTTCAGTATTATTGTTAGGGTTGGATGCTGTGGTGGCATTTGAGAGACCAGCACAGGGCCTGCATGGAGTGGGTGCCCAAGACTGTGGGCCCCTGACCTTCACCAAAAAACCTTGGAATCCTAGAACATTAAGATTCTCAGAACCTATTTGGAAATGGCTTTTGAGGTCATCTTGGTGGCCTCTCCATGCCTCCAGTGTCATGAGATGGGCTGACTTAATATGAAAGTTTTGAGGATGAGGGGTTCTCTGTCCTCTTCAGATATGGACCCTTACCGCTTATTCCCTCAGTGCCCAGAATGGGGCCTTGGTTGTCCTGAATGAATCAATATAAATATATAGCAAGTCTGGCCTGGACCACCTAAAACCATCCTTGGTTTCTGCTTAGCTTGAGGGCATCAGCTGAAAGCTACTGTGTGCATTCTGCAGGAGGGCTTTTCTAACCTATACCCACAGGTAGGGGATGCAATAGAGGGGTGGGGGAGTTTTGAAAGCTAAGTTGTATGGGATGAGAGGCAGGGAGTAAGAGGCTGTTCCAGACCAGCTGGAACTGACCAGCTTAGGGATATAGGGGGAGGGAGCACAGAGAATGAGGCCCTAAGACAACACCTCCTTGGAGGGGGGAGGCATTGTAGTGAGCTGTATATTGACATCTGAGATAAAAATTCTGGTCTGCACCTGTCATTCTTTTTTTTTCTTTTTTTAAGATTATTTATTTATTTGAGAGAGAGAGATCATGAGCAGAGGGGAGGGGAGGAGGGTGAAGCAGACTCCCCACTGAGCAAGGAGCCCAATATGGGACTCAATCCCAAGACCCTGGGATCATGACCTGAGCTGAAGGCAGACACTTAACCAACTGAGCCACCCAGGCACCCTGCACCTGTCATTCTTGATGACAGTCTCTTTGTGGGAGAGGTGGGGGAGGTGAGGACCCTGAGCAGTTCCGGCATCTCCTTGGGAGTAGCTGAGGACTTAGAGACAGACACTGGCATCTGGGAGGAGGCTAATTACTGTTTGCCAGTCTCCCTCTCTCCTTCCTCCCAACTGGAACAGATGGGCAGCTGGCTGGCTGGCAGCATGTATGTCTGTGTGTGCACCTGGCTGGTGCTATTTCTTTGTTGAACTCTGCCCTGAGGGCTGAAATATGGTCAGTTGCCTCGGGCAGCAGATTGGGACACACACTGCCCCCCCCCCCCGCCAGGTCTATGGCGTTTTTTCTGCAGTCATATGTTTAACATACAGTATATGAGAGTCTATGTGTGCAGTAGCGGGTGTCCACTCCTTGGAGAGCTGATAGGTGAGGGAGAGACATTGGTTCAATGTGGGTAGGTGAAAGTTCCTAGAGCAGATGGCTGAAGGATTTAGGTTAGGGAAGGAATGAGCTTGGTGGTCATAGGATAGGCCTGGCTGGAAATGGAATCAAAAAGGCAGATGAGACCACATCATGCCTTGACCCTCAATTGCAAAGCTTATAGTTCTGAACTTAAACCTGGGGGTCATGCTCTAAACCGAGAAGAGATATTGTCTCATAAGTGCTTTAAAAAGATCACCATGGTTGCTGTGAGCATTGGGGGAAAAGAAGGTGGAAGCAGGGAGGCCTATTGGGGAAGTACTGCAATGATACATGGGAGAAATGACAGTGCCCAAAGTAGGGCAGGGGCAGAGGAGAGTGGGTGCTTAGTGGAGACAAAGCCAGGAGGTAGCTGGCCAACAAATGTGTTGCCAGAAGGACAGCAGGAAGATTGGCAGGGAAATGGACTTGGTGATCAATTGCTGAGAACAGGGTGGAGTTTGAGAGCAAAGAGAGGGTGATCTGAGAAGTCACCATGGCCACCATGCTACACTTTTTACACCAGCCCTAATGTACAAACCCAACCCTGCCTCTCTCCAAACCAGGCCCATGACTGCATCTGGCTTTGGGTATCTTCTCTAATCTCCAGATTTAATCTGGTTTTTGACTCAAGATTAAATTCCATGCCTGAGATGTTCCCCCTTCCTCTCTCCTCTCCCCTTGCAGGGACAGGAAAACCAGCCTACTGCCCTGTTAAAGATCTTAAAGAACTGGCTGGATTGTCTTCCCTCTCCCACCATGGCCTTCTCCAGACCCCTCGCCTGCTCCTCAGCCTGAACTGCCCCATGTATGATTCAAGGAAGCCTGGCTAATTCTGTGATCCTAGACAGCTCCCTGACCCTGTCTGGGTTGTTTCTCCACCAGGAAAATGGGGATGCATGCCATCTGCTCCTCCCCAATCAGAGTCCTGACTAATTATGGCAAAAACTGGCGCTCATGAGAAAGAGTGGTTTAGAGGGGAGGGTATGTGCTATGGTGAGCGCTGTGAATTGTGTAAGACTTTTGAATCACAGACCTGAACCCCTAAAACAAATAATACATTATATGTTAATTAAAAAAAAAGAAGAAGAAGAGTGGTTTAGACACATACAGATAGTCCAGGTAAGGGTCAAGCCTTTATGTCCCAGACCTTATATCCCAGAATACAACCTTCCCAAAATATACACTTCCTCTTTCTGATGCAGCAAAGGGAAATACTGTGGAATGAGAAAGCTCATTTCTACTTCTCTCTTCCCTTTCCAGAATCAGGCAGTCCAGGTTCAGATGCTCTTTGTCGGGTGGTCCCACTGCCCACTCCTTCCCTAACTAGGGGCTCATGCCCCAGAACCCTCAGGAGAAGAGCCAAGCCTACCCCCGTTGCCGCCCTGGGAGCCGCGCAAACCGTAAGAGCCCCAAGGTCATCGCAGCTGCAGCTATGTACACCTTCTTGCCTGATAACTTCTCGCCGGCCAAGCCCAAGCCCTCCAAAGAGCTGAAACCGCTCCTAGGCTCCGCGGTCCTGGGGTTGCTGCTGGTGTTGGCCGCAGTGGTGGCCTGGTGCTACTACAGCGCCTCTCTACGCAAAGCGGAACGCCTGCGCGCGGAGCTGCTGGACCTCAACCGAGGCGGCTTCTCCATCCGCAACCAGAAGGGCGAGCAGGTCTTCCGCCTGGCCTTCCGCTCAGGCGCACTGGACCTCGACTCCTGCAGTCGCGACGGCGCGGTCCTTGGTTGTTCTCGCACAGCCGATGGGCGCCCCCTGCATTTCTTCATCCAGACTGTGAGGCCCAAGGATACGGTCATGTGCTACCGCGTGCGCTGGGAGGAGGCAGCTCCAGGGCGCGAGGTGGAACACGCTATGTTCCTGGGCGATGCAGCGGCACACTGGTACGGTGGTGCTGAGATGAGGACCCAGCACTGGCCCATCCGCCTGGACGGCCAGCAGGAGCCTCAGCCCTTCGTCACCAGCGATGTCTACTCCTCCGGCGCTGCATTTGGAGGCATCCTCGAGCGCTACTGGCTGTCATCGCGTGCAGCTGCCATCAAGGTCAACGACTCCGTGCCCTTCCACCTGGGCTGGAACAGCACGGAGCGCTCGCTGCGGCTGCAGGCACGCTACCACAACACGCCCTACAAGCCACCTGCGGGCCGCCCTGCCGTGCCAGAGCTCAGCTACCGCGTGTGTGTCGGCTCCGACGTCACTTCCATCCACAAATACATGGTGCGGCGCTATTTCAACAAGCCCTCGAGGGTGCCAGCACCCGAGGCCTTCCGGGACCCCATCTGGTCCACGTGGGTGCTGTACGGGCGTGCCGTGGACCAGGACAAAGTGCAGCGTTTCGCCCAGCAGATACGCCAGCACCGATTCAACAGCAGCCACTTGGAAATAGACGATATGTACACCCCTGCCTATGGAGACTTCGACTTCGACGAGACCAAGTTCCCCAATGCCAGCGACATGTTCCGCCGTCTGCGTGATGCCGGCTTTCGCGTCACGCTCTGGGTTCACCCGTTTGTCAACTACAACTCATCGTGCTTTGGTGAGGGAGTGGAACGCGAGCTGTTCGTGCGCGAACCCACAGGCCGGCTGCCCGCACTCGTGCGCTGGTGGAACGGCATCGGCGCGGTGCTCGACTTCACACGCCCGGAGGCTCGAGACTGGTTCCAGGGGCACCTGCGGCGGCTGCGCTCACGCTACGCTGTGGCCTCCTTCAAGTTTGATGCAGGCGAAGTCAGCTATTTGCCGCGGGACTTCAGCACCTACAGGCCGCTGTCCGACCCCAGCATATGGAGCCGACGCTACACTGAAATGGCACTGCCCTTCTTCTCCCTGGCGGAGGTCCGCGTGGGCTACCAGTCACAGAACATCTCATGCTTCTTCCGCCTAGTGGACCGCGACTCGGTGTGGGGCTATGATCTGGGGCTGCGCTCACTCATACCCGCCGTGCTCACCGTCAGCATGCTGGGCTACCCATTCATCCTGCCCGATATGGTGGGTGGCAACGCAGTGTCTGAGCGCACAGCGGGCGGTGGCGAGGTGCCCGAGCGCGAGCTCTACGTGCGCTGGCTGGAGGTGGCCGCCTTCATGCCCGCTATGCAGTTCTCAGTCCCGCCCTGGCAATATGATGCCGAAGTGGTGGCTATCGCGCACAAGTTTGCCGCACTGAGGGCCTCGCTCGTAGCGCCGCTATTGCTGGAGCTGGCTGGTGAGGTCACTGACACAGGCGACCCCATCGTGCGCCCCCTCTGGTGGATTGCGCCCGGTGACGAGACGGCACATCGCATCGACTCGCAGTTCCTTATCGGAGACACGCTGCTGGTGGCACCAGTCCTGGAGCCCGGCAAGCAGGAGCGAGACGTCTACCTGCCTGCAGGCAAGTGGCGCAGCTACAAGGGCGAGCTTTTTGACAAAACCCCAGTGCTGCTCACCGATTACCCCGTCGACCTGGACGAGGTCGCCTACTTCGTCTGGGCATCCTGACCCAGCCCAGGACCCAGGAACCCCACAGCCCTAACCTCTGCCTTCATGCAGGCCTTTCACCCTCCATCACAACCACATCGTGTATCCCCAGGACGTCTCCACCTCTGCACCACCCACTAAGTGGGTGCCGACATAAATGTGCCCAACCAGCCGGGGTAGGGCCAGGTGAGGGGGCGCTAAAGCAACTTCCCTTTCTAACGCACAATCCGAAAGACTGTTCCCCTCCACACTCACTCCAGTCTGCCAACTGGAGTGAGGTGGAAGAGAACTTGGAAGGAAAAGGTCAGCTCTCTTCCTGTTACACATGATTGTGTTTTAAAAGCACAAAAAGAAACCTTACCCTCCATCCTGACCTGAATGGCCATCTTTGCCCTTCTGAGGTGGGGACTTGATCCTCTTTAAGGTCCCAAAATAGCCCCCTGCCACACTTAGAAGGGCACATTCTTGATGTTGGAAGCCAGGTCCAGAGTTCCCAGCACTGGCTTGAAGTATGGCTGACCTGGTCCCACCCCAGCTAGGAAGATGGGATGGAGGTGTCGGGGCAACTGACAAGGAGAAAGGAGGTTCCATCCCAGAGGACAGGAAGACTGGGCAGAGCGCGGAGCCATCAATGTTGTCCCTCATTTGTGAAGAGACTCCTAACACTGCACTTACCGGTCCATGTAAACACATGGACTCAGCCATGGGCCAGGGCTATGGCCTATGGGCAAGGACTTGCAAGGCCGTGCAGGCCAGACTTGGTGCCTTAACTCAAGAACCTTTGTGTGTGTGTGTGTGTGTGTGTGTGTGTGTGTGTGTGTGTGTGAGAGAGAGAGAGAGAGAGAGAGAGAGAGAGAGAGGCACCATGTGTCCCTGAATCTACGGAATGAACACAACACTTCTGAAGCTGGATAAGCCAGGAAAGAGGGGGCAGGGAGCAAATTGGAGGTTTTGATTGTTGAGCTGGCCCCTCCTGTTTGATGTCCCTGGGAATCTAGTAGGAAATAAACAGCCCTTTCAAGATCTCTCAGCTGCTTCACTCCCTGTATACGTGGCAGGAGTGTAGCCTAAACGGGAGCACTGTTCTTATTCTGATGGTGGTGTGCTTTGGCACATGAGCTCTGTGGGCACATCAGCACCTGTAAATACACATACAGGGTAAGGTCTTTCATTTCAGCCATTTTCTCTTTCTAAGAAGAGCAACCTCAGCCAGAGTGAGTTGTTGCTGACTTTGCAGCTGAGTCTGAGGAAGAAATGGCTTGCCAAAGTGGGGAGGTGGGAAACAGGGCAGGGCTCAGCTTCCCTCAACCCCTAAAGAATGCATCCTTTTGCCCACTCCTCCACCCCCTCTATTTCCCCTATGTGAAAAATGCCTAATGAAAGTTTTGGGGCACTCTCGGATGTCCATGTTGAGTGCTGATTCTACCACTCTTGTCCATAAGCTGTTTGATTTTAAGTGAGCTGCTTAACCTTGTTGAGCCTGTTTCCTCATATGTAAAATGGTGATGATAATGCCTACCTCCCAGGTTGTTGTGGGAATTATAAGCAAAGATGTGTGTAAAGTGCCTGGCACAAGTAGGTGCTCAATAAAAGGTAGCTATTATACTATTATACTTTTTCGGGGGGGCGGTACACAAAAATAACAAGGATTTTTCCAGGCCCAACTGGCTTCCTCTGGGCTTACCTGTGACAAACTTTTCCCAAGTCTTTGCACATAACACCCAGTTGAGCTCTAAGTTTGTGACCCAAAGGACACTGTGGTCCAGGAAAAAGGCAAGAGGAGAGATATCTGAAGATGGGGTGTCAGGAGCCAGGATTCCTGGGTCCCCAGGAGATGGGGAGTAAATGAATTAACTTCCTTCTCCTTTTTGTCAAGAGCACCCACCAATCAGTACTCAATGATGAACCTCCTGGGGCACCCACCCACTGGCTGGGAAGCGGCTATAGAGGCAGAACACCGAGGCTGGGTCCTGGAAGTTTCCCTGAGTGGCTGGAGAGCATGACTGACACTTGAATGGCCCTCCAGGTTTCTGTGCAATCTGAAGCCATTTTAACCAACCTCTGGAGCCTCGGTTTCTTCTTATTTATTTATTTATTTATTTATTTATTTTGAGAGAGAGCTGGGGAGGGGCAGAAGGAGAGGGAGAGAGAGAATCTTAAGCAAGCTCCACGTCCAGCACAGATCCCAATGTGGGGCTCCTTCTCATGACCCTAAGATCATGACCTGAGCCAAAGTCAAGTGTTGGATGCTTAACCAGCTGAGCCACCCACGCACCCCAGTTTCTTCATCTATTCAATGGAATTTCTAGGATTCATTGAGATGTGCCTGTAAAGCACTTATGCAAAAATTGGCAAATAGTAAGTGCTCAATAAATGGTAACTCCTATCAACTCTTATTTTAGACAAGGGACACTAAACATGAAACAAAGAGAAGCTCTGCCTAGAACCTGTGTTGTCCAATGTGGTAGCCACTGCCCACATGTGGCTTCTTAAATTTAATTGTAAAATTAATTAAAATGAAATAAAGCTTAAAAGACAGTTCTTCAGGCACACTAGCCACATTTCAAGTGTTAAATGCCATGTGTGACCAGTGGCTAACCTATTGGACAGGGCAGATTATAGTTGCAGAAAGTTCTAGTGGACCAAGATGGAGGAGTGTGCGCTGCCTGAGATGGCATAGGGAGGGATAAAGCAATCTGTAAGGCCTGAGTAATCTGGCACAGAGGAGGAGGAGTATAAGGGCATGAAGGGCAGGCAGCAGCATCTCACAGCCTAGATGGGGGAGGAGGCACACCATACCCACTGAGCACTCACTGTATGCTGGGACAGGGCCAAAGGAAAGAGTGCCCTCGTCTGGCCAAATTCCAGCAAACCGGCCCCTGGCTTGCAATCTGATTTCTAGTCAGGCTTCTGCCAGTCTCGTTAATCACAAAGGCACAGATGAACAAACTGAAGCACTGAGAGAGGAGGGTATTGGCAGGAGATTAGTAACCACGGGAACCTGGTGTTCTGCATCCAGACGCCTAGAATCTCCTACCTGGTATTGTCCTACCTTTCAACAGCATTGCCCAGCCCTGGCCCATATACCACCAAGGATGGGGAGCCAGCTGAAATATGTATCTCTGAAGCTGCCGCCCAATGGTTCTAGGTCAAGAAGTGTTTCCCCTTCCCCCACTGATACCAAAAAAGAGAGGTTCAAGAAGTGGGGGTGGGGGGACTAGAATGGTAGGAGCCATGAGAAAGAGCTGGATTTGGGAAGATAGGGGGAGGTGAGGGAACTGGGCTGGAAGTTACCTTTCCCTAGTCTGGCCCCTTCCAGACTTGTCCAGTGCCCCATCCTCTTGTGCATTCTAAACTTCTCTCTCTCTGTACATCTGGGTGAGGGGACTCTCCCTACTCCAAGGGAATTTCCAGCACCCTTGTATGGCCAGGATTTCTCATTTGTCTCCCCTGTACCCCTGGGCTGGTTGGTGGGGACTGATTTGTGGGAATGGGGAACTCCTCCAGAGGTAATGGAGAGGATCAGAGTGGCCACTGCAGGAAATCTGGGACTGGGGCCTAATGTCCCCATTCTGTGACCCTGTATACCCTGAGAGTCTGCCTTGGTCTCCCTTCTAATACCATATGAATCAGCTGAACCCTAGCCAAGCCCTCTAAGCCCAAGATGTGAGTTTTCTGAGGGTCTTTGCCCTGTTCCCCAAGATTCGGGTAAAGTGTCTCTCACCCTGGTTGGCTCCAGAGCAAGTCTTCTGCTGGTTTCTGGTTGCTTCTCCTCTCCTCAGGTCCAAGGCTAATGGTGACCTCTCCATCCCTTTATCAGTTCTAGCCTGGACCACTGCAACGGTCTTCTAACTTTTTCAACTCTTGGACTCTTCAATCTAATCCACACAGCAGCTAAGGAAATCTTTCTGAAATTCAATCAAATCACTTAGGAAAATATCCAAGCTCTGATGTTCAAGGCCTCTAATATCTGAACACTTCTCATACCTCTGTTTCTGTTTTACTCACACACACATACTTATGAGTATATTTTGAAAAGCATTTGAAGAAATACTACCTTCTGTTCTGGAAACAGTTGCACAGCCCATCCCTGCAAGGCGAGGCCTGCCTGGACCCAGCCTTGAAGAAAACCACAGTGGCAACTGGGTGATTTCCTTTCCCGCTATTGTCCAACTCAGTGGGACTTCTGCTGACACCCTCCCTTCTCTGGCACACACCCCAGCTCCCAAGGAACAACTGGTTTTTATCTGAAGGCTAGTCATCTACTTCATCATGACCAAGGATCTTTCCAGCAGCTTGAGGGGAAGAGAGAATCCTTTTTTTTTTTTAATGCACTTTACCATTTTAATGGATTATACAGGAAAACAGAAGCTGACCTCTTTTTTATATTAAAATATAATTGATATAACATTATATTAGTTTCAGGTATACAATGTAATGATGGGATATTTCTACGTATTGCAAAGTGATCACCATAGTAAGCCCAGTTAATATCTGTCACCATACATAGCTACCAAAAAAATATTTTTCTTGCAATGAGAACATTCAAGATCTACTCTCCTAGCTACTTTCAAATATACAATAGTTTTATTAACAATAGTCACCATGATGTGTGTTACATCCCCATGACATTAATTTTATAATTGGAAATTTGTACCTTTTGACTCCTTCACCCACTAGGGGATAGGAGAATTCATGACCTGAAGCCGGGGTTGGGCTTGGGTGAGGAATGGGAAAAGACAGAAGAGGGGGTCCTGTCCCCGGGAGTCTCCGGTCTGAAGAACAGGAAGAGATTGTGCCTCTGTACTCTGTATCTTTAGGCTGTTTTTTCCTCCCTAGCCCCCTTTTCCCTCCTCAGGGAGTCCAGTTGAGGCCTTCCTATTACACAATCCTGAGCAGGAGGTGGATTGAGAGGGGAAAGGAAGGGGAGGGGAGGGGAGGGGAGGGGAGGAGAGGGGAGGGAAGGGAGGGGAAGGGAAGGGGGTAGGGGTGGAGAAAGGCACAGCTGATTTCGCTGCGCACCTATAGCACAGCCTCTAGGGGGCAGCAGCGGGGCCGGCACAGCCCTCCTCTAGAAAAGAAGGGACAGGTTGGGCCAACAATCTGGACCAATGGAGATGTAAGCCTCTGCTCCCCAAACATGGGGGCCCCACTTGTGCAGGTCTCATACCTGCACAAGTATTCCAATTGAAACTCTACCATCGAAGCTACCATTATAACTTCATTCCTTTGGGTCTTCAATTCAGCAAAGAAGTGCATACTGTGGGCATGTAAGGTATTGTGTCCGAGGGTCAGGAGGGCATTTTAGCTTTCCAGAGCCCACCCTGGTCGGGATAAGTCTGGTAAAGGCGGCACTGGGGGAAACAGGTGGAGTTTCAAGAGGAGCCTCTTTAGGTGTAGGTGGGGAAACAGGACAGTATTTATAGGATGGGTAGTTATTGGGGAAGGCTTCCGGGAGGACATGCTCTGGAGCTTGGAGGGCCCCGGATTAAAGGGGAAATTGCGGTCTCAGTCCCACATTTCTGGACGAGCTGGCCAGAAGCAAAGTGGTGATGATGACAAAGGCTACTCACCTGTCACGTCCATCTCAGGTTCACTCTCTCCCACCTCATCCACCTCCCGTAACATGCCCTGGTCCCACCCTGCCATGAATTCTTCCTGCAGAGAGTAGATGATACAATTTATGGGGGTCCCCACGCCAAAGTACCTGTGTTTTGTTTTTGTTTAATTTTTTAAAGATTTTACTTATTTGTCAGAGAGAGACACAGCGAGAGAGAGACACAAGCAGGGGGAGTGGGAGAGGGAGAAGCAGGCTTCCCGCCGAGCAGGGAGCCCGATGCGGGGCTCGATCCCAGGACCCTGGGATCATGACCTGAGCCGAAGGCAGATGCTTAACGACTGAGCCACCCAGGCACCCCAAGTACCTGTGTTTTAATGGAAAACTCTGTAAGGCCCAGAGAAATGACTCAAAAAGCCGTACGTAGTATTCTAAAGCAGAGTCTTTCCTTGGGAAGTTCATCCTCAAAGCCCCCCACATATAGGCAACTGCCAGGGCCATCTACCTTTTTTTTTTTAAGATTTTATTTATTTATTTGACAGAGAGAGCTAGAGTCAGAGAGCACAGTGCGGGGGAGGGGAGGAAGCAGGCTCCCCGCTGAGCAGGGAGCCCGATGAGGGGCTCCAAACCAAGACCCTGGCATCATGACCTGAGCCGAAGGCAGACGCTTAAAAGACTGAGCCACCGAACTGCCCCACCGTCTACCTTCTTAAGCCTCAACTTCCCCAGCTATAAAAATGAGCAGCAAAATTAGGTCATTTTCCAGGTCCCTTCCAACGCTGACGTATAAGGTTTTAGCATTTTGAGCTTCAACAGCCTCCCATGCTGAGAGCACGGGGCTGGCCAGCCCTTGTTAGGAGGCAGCTAGTCTGTGGTTTGGCACCACTGCCCAGCCGGCATTTATTAAATCAGTGGGATGTGGTCCCTGCTGGCCTGGAAAGAGAACATTAAGCTCCAAAAACTTCCTGCAGCAGGCCTCCTTCAGAGAGCACTGCTCAGAGGGGTGAGGAACAAA